CGGAGAGCAGCAGATATTCTGGGAACGTGGTACTGGAACAATGTACGCATGAAACCATCATTAACAATATTGTAAATCCTAGTTGCTAAAAAAACCCCACATTTTTAAAAAAGTTACCTCTTTCTAGCTTTCTAGTCTCCACTTCCCTATGTCTCACTCACTTCTCATCCCAAATCTTACTCCTATCCCTTCTCCTCCCCTAGGTCCTTCCAAATCACTGTCCCCTAAAGTAAAGTCGAGATCACTATTCCATCCTTTCCTCAACTGACATGAACACAGCCGCATTTAACACTATTGGCAACTCCTCCTTTCTCCCCCACTGACTGACTAACTGAATTTTATGGCAGACATGTTTATTTGCTTGCCCCCCCCCCCACCTATTTATCCTCTTAGCCAACTCACTTTTATCCAACACTGGGTGTTGAGTTCAATGTCTTAAAGCACAGAGCTTCAATAATTGGCTATGCACACCGGCCCTTAGTGTCTAGCTCTCAAAGCTAGTGTATGTCTTCTCTGAATACTATGTCCATAGATTCTATTATCTCAGTGAACCCACCCCCATTTGGAAAGTTTCTCAGACTCATTTGTGGGATACACAAAAACATAGTATAAAACAAGGACTGTGGGAGAAAAAGACCAGGAGGAAGGATTCACAGTTGGAAGCGCGCCACAAGTGGTGGTGGTGGGGGGGAGGGTAGCTAGGGTAGAGAAGGGACCACTATGCCAAAGACAGTCAGAAAATGATCACTCTGGAGAAGAACTGCGTGCTGAAAGTAGGTACAGCAACAAACATGATAACCTTTCAGTACCTGTATTGCCTTCCATAATGGCTGGGGGGGGGGGTGGAGGAGAGAGGGAGAGAGGGAGAGAGAAGAGAGAGAGAGAGAGAGAGAGAGAGAGAGAGAGAGAGAGAGAAGAAAAATGTTTGCCACACAGGCAGACTGTGGGGAGGGCTGTGGGAGGGAAACTGGGAACATTGACATTGATAGTGGGAAATGTAAACTGGTGAGCAGATGGGTGATGAAACATTGTAAGACTGAAACCCAATCATGAACAACTTTGTAACTCTGTAACTCATGGTGATTCTATTTTTTAAAAAAAATGCAACACTGGTGTGAAATTGTGCTCACACACTTTTTTCCCCATGATGCCACACCTATAATTCTCACCCCTGTCAAAAAAGCAATGATATCTTTCTACATCAGAAACTTGAATGAGAATCAGCTAACTCTTCCTCGTGGGGCATGGTAAAGAGACTACTCCTTTCCCAGTTCCTTGGATACACATTCTCCCAGCCCCCCACAGCCCTGCTCCAAGACCACTCCATGCAAGTCCAGGCTACTCACGATTTATCAGGAGTGCTATGCTTGATTCTCCAGCACATTCATCACTGCTAACCTACCTGCCACCATCCAGAATGTTCTCTTGAAAACTTGAGTCTGCCAGGGTCCTGTCACTGCTGGAAAGAATCTGTTTAATGTCTGGCTTGACCACAGGAATGTGGCCTGCTTTGTCCAAGTACATGACCAGGGTTTAATATATGTTTATTCAATGATAACTGCAAAAGGAAGAAAAAGAATCCCCCAAAGTGCTTTCACCACCCACAAATAAATAGTACATATTTTTTTTTCTTTGACATGTAGGAAAAAGGCTTTTCCAAATATGAGCGACATCACATCATTTACAAAATTTATAATGAACAATGGCCAGGGCTTATAAATCATATCACATAAGGTAACATTTGCATTTAATGCAAACAATAGACAACACCCATTTACACAGCTCAGTTCTCCATCTCACATGAAGCAGAGGAAGAAAAGTAGTTGTCAATGGCCTGAACACATCACCGTGGAGAATCATTCAATGACAGACAAGATGAATTCTTTAGTTGAGAGCTGCTGGATTCCAGGCCAAATGGTTAAGAGTATGCTATGGTAGAATGAGCTAAGCTACAGCAGACACCAACAAGATGCCAAAGAAGAAGGAAATGCCAAGGAGGATGGTGGCATGTGATTTAGCCAAGGAATGAAGGATAGCTCTATTGGGATAGAAGATGTCTGCAAGGTTTTCATTTGGTTGGGGTTCGGGGCCACACCCAGAGATGCTCAGAGGTTCCTCCTGACTTTGCCCTCAGAGATCATTCCTGAGTGGCTTGGGAGACCATGCATGATGTCAGGGATTGAACCTGTGTCAGCTGCGTGCAAGGCAAGTGTCCTCCCCTCTGTACTATTATTGCTCCCGCTTGGATTCTACATGTTTTGAAGGCATGGAGAATTCATGCGAACCAAAAGAAAACAGCAGTCATTCCGGGTGAAAAGATGATTATCCAGGAGGATGAGCATACCTGGTATCACCAGTACCATCTCCAGAGTTTGAGGGGCCCCTGGGTGGTGGCAACTGGAAATATCCATCACAGGACAGGATCCCACAACATCAGATTCACCATATTTTACAGATTGGGGGTGAGGGTGGGGGGAACATGAGGATCAATCAGTCCAGTAGACGGCAGTGCCAAGGAGGTGAGAAGGAGATGCTGATCCTAGGAGTCCTGATGTCAGAGGTCAGGAGAGAAAAGATTGAGATCGATGAACTGGAGCAATAGCACAGCAGGTAGGGCATTTGCCTTGCACATGGCCAACAAGGCCGACCTAAGTTGGATTCTTCTGCCCCTCTCGGAGAGCCTGGCAAGCTACAGAGAGTATCTCACCTGCACAGCAAAGCCTGACAAGCTACCTGTGACGTATTGGATATGCCAAACACAGTAACAAGTCTCACAATGTTACTGGGCCCGCTCGAGCAAACTGATGAACAATGGGAGGACAGTGACAGTGATAGTGACAGCGACAGAACTAAGAGACAAAAGGATGCCCGAGACGCATAAGAGCAGGGCCAAAAATGGATCCATGGGAAGGTCTGAGAGGCCAGAAGAGCCTGACAGGAAGTCAGCACCCCCGCACTCCATCAAACAAGTTTCTGATAACTGAGGTAGGCCTTGGCCTGACACTTCCACTCACATGCTTTGGGGACTCACTCAAAACCACAACGTTTTTCCAAATGCCAACTTTGCAAGGTCGATTCTGTACTGTTCAGTGCTGTCGCAGCTATTGTCTATTGCCCCAGGAGAACCCAAGAACCACAGTCGGGTGGGGGCGGAAACGGAGTCTGAGTCGCCTTCTTGTCAGGCGGCTAATTTCATTTTGAAATTCTATAGCCAGAGAACAACAATAAAGTATTGGCTCCATGTTGAAATAAATAAGGGGTTATTTTTGCTGCTGAAAGTTTTCATTCAAATGACTACTCAGATCTCACGTCTGTTTAGAAAAGAGAAAAAAAAAGTCGGACTGAGGTCCTTACAAAATGACATGCTATGATAAAGTAGATGGGAGCTTCCAGTGAGACAATGAGGCATTATTTACACAGAAGATTGAGTAACTGGTTTTAACAAAGGAGGTTCTTGGGTATCTATTGTATGTACAACTAAGAGATTTACTGGGGCTTTTATAATTTCTGTGCAGACGCTTTCCAGCTAGCTTCATTAACTTGAAGTAAATCAAATCATGCAGAAATCTGGCTCAGCCAGAAAGCAACTCAGGAAGATATAATACGAAGAAAAACAGGCTGAGGATGATAAGGTTTAGAATCTTAGGCATTTTTCACAAACATTTTCTTTGAAGATTATTAAATTATGACTCAAAGGGTGGGGGATGTATAGGAGTGGAGAATAGGGTAAAACTCAGTATTAAGTCAGGTCTTTTGACCTAAACTTTCCCCATATATACATATTATTATAAATATATTTATATGTATTATATGCTTATAATACATATATGTGTGTATATATATGACACAAACTGTCAACAAAAATGCAGCCTTTATAATATCAAAGTCATTCAAAAATAAAGAAAATCACAAATATTTTATATACACAAAAAACTGAGTTTTTGATTTGGGGCCCCCATGGAGTGGGGTATGTGAAGAGAAATCTGTGCAGAGGAATCAGAACCTCTCAAAGATAGACTTCTGAGTGCCCCTCTGTCAGGAATGGGGTTCAGAGCTATACTTGAGGGTGCACAGGCTGAATTTTCCCAGTAGAAAAACAGAAAGCGCCAAGGGGCGTACTGAAGTCTTTTTCAATTTTTTGCACAACCAGTGGGCAAAAGAAGCAAAGGACTTCCCCCAAGTTTCTTGCTTCTTGGTCTATCTAAATAAACTTGAGGGATTTTATTTTACCATTCTCTACCTCCTGCCAGCTTCTTCACACCACATTATTTCTCTCGGAAATCAGCCAATAAAACTAAAGGGGGCCTGGGAGTGGGGGTGGGGGAGGGAGGTGGAATCGTCATTTTTAATACAATCAAAAGTGTTCTGGAATTCTCCTTCTGAATGTTCCCTCTGTATCTTCCCAGAACCTCCACTGCCAGTGACAAACTCTTGACTTCACTGAAATGTGACTCACAGTGGCCAGTCATGAGGGCAGAAGGATGCCAACGATTTGGTCTTAGCAATTAATTGTTTTAGAAATCTCTTTCTAGTGTCCAATGCTGCGATAGCAGGTAGTTCTTCACGAGCCTCAGATGCAGAGAAAACGTGGGTACACCAGCACCGTCCTCTGAAAGGCCCAGGGGACTGAGGATGAGGAGGGGGTGAAGTGGTTCGAAGGAGATGCCCTGTCAAGAGGGCAGACAAGGTCAAAGGTCAATCCAACGGGTCAGTTCTCCCAGAGGATGTGTGGGTCTGATCTGCAGGGCAGCTAGTTTCACCTCCTGCTCCAGAGTGACGAGGAGACACCCTTGTTTCTGGCTTGCTTCCTTTGACCAACAATGTGGGAACGTGGGAGCACGCAAGCCCATGTCCGTGTGCATGGAAAGAAGGGGTGCAAAAGCACAAAGAGGGTGTCCGTGGCAGGCCTCACACAGAGACCCTGTAACACATGAGTTGGACCACTGGCCCCTGCTGATACCATCAACCCAATACCTAATGGAGGACGGCAGCCCAGCTGGGGTGACCAGTGGGTGGGTCGGGGGGCTATGCTCTAGAGGGCACTGCGCTTCTTCCGAAGGGGACTGTGGCTGCTGTAGGTTTTCAGCTCCGAGTACTGCACCTGTGAAAACAGACAGACTTGACAGGGGCGCTGGGGTAACCAGAGCTCGCCACCGTGTGTGTTAATGGTTCCCCAAGGAGCTGTCCGGGCCCAGCAGGCAGGTTCAAAGGTAATGAATCATTTTCTAAACACAGGAACACGAAGGAGGGATTAATTGCAGGAAGGATTTGAGAAGTCATGTATCATTTTGGGAAATCCAAATACTAAAAGCAGGTATTTTTTTTTTCTAATGAGACGTGTACATTTGCTTCTTTTCAACCTGCTCTGGGCTGTTGCAAGAGGATTTTGGTTTTGTGGGTGTCTGACTCCCACCCCCACACACACACCCCACATGCTTAATCACTGTTTCCTGGGAATGTTTATCCTAATATAGGACGCAGCAACTTGGTAAGAATTACTCATTTCAAAAAAATATCTAAAATCTTGAAGGGGAAAAAAAAAACCACCCAACCCTCTGCAATGTTTTGCCAGTGAAGGGGTGAGTGGGGTGGGGGAGGGAAGGGGGCAAAATAGAAGCCTGGGCAAGGCCTTATAGAGATTTCTCTTAAAGACAAATTTCAGGGCCAGAGCAATAGCACAGTGGGGAGGGCACTTGCCTTACACACAGCTGACTCGGGTTCGATTCCCAGTATCCCATAGGTTCCCCCAAACACCGCCAGGAGTCATTCCTGAGTGCAGAGACTGGAGTAACCTCTGAGCCACACTGGGTGTGGCCCCCAAAACAAAAAGCAAACAAACAAAAACAAACAAACAAACCCTAATAAATGTCATTCACAATGCAATGACAAAACATCTGTAATAAAGATAAATGTGTGGGGACAGAAGATCTAGTACTTTGCTATTGGAATGGACCTGGCTGGAGACCCTCCACCTCTTCTGGGAGGATGTGCCTTCACTGTGTCCCTCTGCATTCCTGCTCTTGGGGGCAGATGCCTGGACTAGGCCCCCACGATCCTGGGGGAAGCAGGCAGGCAATTTCTGCTTTTCAAGGCTGCAGGTAGGCCCTCAAGTGGCCAGGGATACTGATGGAACTTGGCAGCTCCCTATCCATAGGCGCCGTGTAGCTGCGTGAGATTGGGTAGGAAGGGAGAGTTTCGTATAAAGGATGGCTCTACCACTCCTATGCGATCTCCATCTCTAGCATCTGTGGACCATGGGCCCCTTCAGGGGAAGCTGAGTCACACTTTGTAAAAGGCTGACAGCCAAGAGCCCTTTTCTCCCAATTTCCCAAAGGAGACGGCGGGGGTGGGGTGGTGGGACTAGGGGCAGGAGGCAGGGCTCAGACCAGCCTCACTTCATTCAGTGCAGTATAAAGCAGGGCCAGATAACTATTCTGTAATTTGGCCTTGCAGAAGGGAATGCACAAGTTCTGACTTACAGGACGCATTTTATTTTAGGGTCCCATCTGGTGGTGCTTAGGGTTGACTCCTGGCTCCATGCTCGGAGAGCACTCCTGGAGGATCTTAGGGATCCACTGTGGTGCCAGGGGTTGAACCCAAGTTGGCCACTTGCAACACAAGTTTTCTAGTGGCTGAACTATCTCTCCAGCGCTACAGAATGGATCTTATCAGAGGAAAGAGGAAGATTAAGTTCAGGTTCTTTCAGCCCTATCGCTCCACTGTGCTATTTCAGGGGCTTATAACAGAGAAACCACTTATGCATAGGACCTTGGGGTGAAAAATCAATGTATACTTTGGCTTGAGATTCTCTCGGATCATAAAGGATGGTGGGAGTTCATGCTGTGCTCCACGCATCCACCTGGTCTATGAGCTCTATTCTGCATGAGGCAAATTGGTGTATCTGCTCTTTGTACTCTGGCCAGAACTCAGCCCCCTCAGCATCAAGGAGGGGGCCGGATCAGGACTGCTCCACGGGCTGTCTTGGCATTGTTGCTGCTGGTAATCTCGATGGAGCCACAGAAATGGGGCACTGCTTGCCTAAGTGACTGTTACCTGCAGATAATATCCTGATTGATCTCAAGATTATTTCACGCAGCCTCTGCTGCTCTGTAAAGGAGGAGCTTTGCCCTTCTTCACACTCCCAGATCTTTACAAGGAAAAGGAAAGAAGGGACACCTGGGAGATAATCGAATCAAAGAAGCAAAAGTCTAACCCTCCTGCTTACCATGTCGCCCCCTCTCCCTAAATGCTTCAGAGGAGGCGGTGGTGGAAATGAAGCAACAGTCCTTCAACTTTGAATCTCAAGTCCCTGACCCCCACCCCGACCAACTCACTGGAACCTTCCTATCCTCTCCACAAAGGCAAGTGAACACACAAAGGGACAAATGCCTGTGGCCCTTCAGTCCCCTAGGGCAAGTTCCAGGTCATTTTTTTTTTCAGGAGCTCTTTATTTCAGGATGACTTTTCCCCCAGCTGCCTCAGGCTTTGGATAAAGATTTTCCTGCCACTTGCCAGCAAGCCAGTGCTCTTAAGAGATTTTCCATGCCTCCTATCAGTGGAAGGCTCCAGACTCCTTTGGCTCAGGGGATTGGCCAGACACTGGTGGTGCCCCTACCACACACACATACATATGCACACACAACCGCCACACCCACGGGCAGTGACCAGGGATCAAATACCTTTTGCACATCAGATGGGACTCTGGAGAGGAAGTCCAGCAGCTCATTATTGTCAATGGCGTAGGGGTTCCGAAGCTTCTTAGTAAATTTATTTATGCCTGAAAAACAGAAACACCCAGAAGGTGTCTATCTAGCTGTCAGTCCATCCATCCATCGACCTGTCTATGAATCTATCTCTAGAATTTATCATAAGTTATCATCTACTTGTATTTTACCTATCCATCCGTCTATTTGTCAGCCTACTGTCCATCTGTCAATCTATCCATCTTTATGACTAGTCATCCATATATCTGTATCTATCTATCTGTCTATTTACTCATTAGCCTATTCCTCATCTGTCAATATGCCAATCCACCTGCCTAACTATCCATGCATCCATTCATCCATCCAACACCTCCCATCCATCCATCTCCTTCCATCCATCCATTCATCCATCTCCTTCCATCCATCCATCCATTCATCCATCCATCCATCCATCCATCCATCTCCTACCATCCATCCATCCTCCATTCATCCACCTGCCTTTAAAAATTTTCCAGGTTGAGAAAAGGGAGCATTCACATAGAAAACAGTGCAACAACAATGGCCAAAGTCCCAATCCTGAAAACATCACTGACCACTGAGATGGAAGGATGGGTGGATAGATGGGTGAATGGGGATGAATGGATAAATGGATGGTAGAAAGGGAAGAATAGATGGAAGGATGGAAGGAGATGGATGAATGGGAGGTACTGGATGGATGGTTAGATGGATAGACATATTGACAGATGAGTAGTAGGCTGATGAGTAGATGCTTAGATAGACAGATGGATAGATACAAATATATGGATCACTAGTCATATAGATGGATAGATTGACGGACGGACAGTAGGCTAACAAATGCCTCTTCAACAGCAAGGACACAGGGAGCCAAACAAAGCATCCTACTCCATTCTGCTGTGAAAATCCCATCCCGGCACCAGCAGTATAGCAGAAACACCTGCTAAGACTGAGGAGCCCAGGGTTTGGGGGTAAGGCTCATTTATAGCACAGAAAACCCACATGGCACCTGGGACCATGGCATCAACAGTTACACAAAGTCCCAGCTTGAACACTGGGGACCTGGGTGGCAGAGGGCAGTAGGGGGATGGGCTGCTTAAAAGACCACAGTGATCTCTGTGCTCCGCACATCTCATTTTCACAGCCTTCTCCTGCCCCTCTCCCCCCTGCACAGAACCCAACATGCAGATGGGGCCTCAGACTTTGTGAGCTGGGGAAAGAAGATTCCAAGAAAATCATTCTGGGGCAGCTGATGATCTGCATGGCCCTTGCATTGGATGTGGGCTGGCGTCAAGGTCTAAACTGATGTCAAGGTCGCAGTTGAGTGATCCAAGGTCTGTGACACCCAGCAAATCTGATTATGTTTCTGTTCTCATTAAATATCATTTTGCTTCAATCTAGAGACTGGACTTCCTGTGTAGCAATATACCTTGGGCCACCCTGCCGACCTTGGGCCACCATGCCAACGTCCAGCCAATTCTTTGTTGGGTCACACCGGGTGTCTGCTCTGCACATGGCGACCAGAGTCTTGGAGGAAATAAATGCTTGGTGATTGGGCTGGGGAAGGCTCCAGACCAACAATCCCCTTTCTCTCTCCATATTGGGCGGGGTGGGGTCGGAGCAGGGACAACCCCTAATGGTGCTCAGGGCTTGCTCCTGGTGGGCTTGGAGGACAAACTGGGATGCTAGGGACTGAACTCACATGTTAGGCAAGTGCCTCACCTACTGCTTTATCTCTCTGGTCCAGGAGCACCTTCCTCTCTGGTTAAAGAGAGCTCAGGTTAAAAGCCTTTCTTCCCGCTCCAGGTCAGCTTCATGACTCTGGTGCAGCTCTCCACCAGCATTTCTTTATGTGAAACTGTTCTCGCTAAGTTTCCGCTAACAGCATTTAATTGGAGCGCGGGCTTTCTAGCAGAAGAAAAAAGGCAAGGCAAAGCAAGGAGGAGAAGACCAAGATGCACTGAGGAAAGAGGTCTCTTCCATGGTAAACGATAGAGTGCATGCATCTGGTGTCTGTATAGTGAGCAGCAACGCAGGGATAATATCCCAACCAAGCACAACACCACATTCCTAAGTTGCGAAGAAGATTACAAACCTGTGCAGAAGCTCACAGGCACCCATGAGGGCCCAGAGAACTCCAGAGAACACAGGGACAGCTGAAACTCAAGAGGGTTCACTAGGTTCCCCAAGCCTGCCAAGAGTCATCCCTGAGCACAGAGCCAGGAGCAAGCCCTCAGCACTGCCAGGTATGGTCCAAATATCCAAGGAAAAAAAAGGGGGGGGGGGGATTCTATATCAGAAATGTTTGGAGTTACTTAGTTTTTTTCAAGAGTCTTGCCATGAATATGTAAATTTGACTGGAGAAGAAGGAGGAGAAAGAGGAGAAATAGCTTCTGTCTTGGGGGGGTCACTGAATTCAGCTATGCTCAGGGCTTACTTCTGGCTCTGTGCTCAGGGATCATTCCTGGTGGTGTTGGGGAGACCATATGAGGTGCTGGGGATTGAAGCCTGGTCGATCACATGAAAGGCAAGCACCCGATCCACTGTACTCTCTCTCCAGCCCTCAGGTTGTAGCTTTTATCTGTCCTTTCAGATGTCCAGCCTGTGCTTATAGAATAAAGAAGCTCGAAACAATCGCTTCCATTTGGAACTTCCCACCAGATCTTCACATGTTGGAGCGAAGATGATTAAAGGACTCAGGAACCACATAACAGAGAACCCAGACTGGCAGACTCTTAAGGAAGGATCACTAGTTTCTCAACAACTAATTTCCTTGCCGTGCATCCTCTCCTTTCCTCTACTCAGAGCTCACCCATTCCACACCCCAGTATTCACCAACGTAGTGTGCATGCTGTCCAATTATTCACTAGGTCATAAAGGAAGTCAAGGCATCTCATTTCAAACTTGTGCTTTTTCCTTTGGGCTCCTTAAAAAAGCAGCTAGACGTTCTATCGGCACACCACCACTGGTCCTGGTAAACAGCAGCTTCCTCTCCTTTCAGACCAATTAGGAAGTGACCAAGTGATCTTCCTTCTACCTGCTTCCTGCTCCCCTGCCTCCACCCCCACCACATCCCTTCAGTACTTGGGATTTCATTAAAGAACTGGGTTATTTTTCCCAAGGAGGGATGAAGTATCAGGAACTGCTCTGCAACCTGCAGATCGCCTTTCTTCAGAGGATAAAGGGCACAAAGCAGGTGTTTGCTCACTGTGTGAATAACGGTATTTCTCAAAGTTTCTGGGCCACAGTGAGAGATTATTCAAGGGTATTCATGGCTCTGAAAGCCCAAAGGGAAATCGCACGCACAATCACATTTTTATTTGATTGCAATTATGCAAGAGGCCTATAAATATCGCTGCTGATTGTTCATGCAACTGCCCTTTCTCAGGGAGGTCCTGGAAATTTTTGTTTCCGAAATGCTTTCCTTCATCTTCTCTTTAATTGCCAGCAAGAGCACATTTAAAGTTTATGGTCGCGCTTTAAAAGTGAGTAATTGGTTCTCACCTGCAATTGATTGCTAGCCAAAGAAAAAGAAAAAAAAAAAAAGAACCATGCCAAACTTACCCCAGATTAAAATGATGTAGCGAAGAGGAATGAAATACAGCATGATGGTGGCCACCACTAGAACCAGACAGGCCAGGAACGAGAGGAAGGGGACCGTCCAGTTGAAAGTGCTGCAGAAAGACCAAACAGATATCATTTTCAGGGCGACCTCTAATCCATACTCATTCAGCCACGTCTGTGCCTTAGTTCAAAAACCAATAAGATTTTTGAGGAAACTTTCTCTGAAAACCTGAAGATCAAAAATGGCCAAATGGCCAGGAGTCTCAAGACTGAGTCCACTTGTCTGTCTGAGGGCTCAGGCTGCCATGAAGGTGGCGGGAGGAGTGATGGCCAGGATTTGACTGTCCAGAGGGAATTATACACCTATACACAATTCTGCAATTTTGTTACCACAGTTCTGTGCAGAGGGAGTTTCAAATCTCATGGGGAGGGGGAGGGGTGGGAACACTTGGAAATGCAGATTTCTCACTCCACTGACAGAGCTGCCAGAAAAATTCTTAAGCAAGGGGACATATAGCCACACCCAGCAGTGCTCAGGGCTTACTCCGGACTCTGACCTCAGGGATCGTTCCTGGCAGGGCTCTGGGGATCCTGAGGTGTCCGGTATCACATCCAACTTGGTTTCTTGCAAGGCAAGCACCTTACCCACTGTATTATTGCTCCGGAATCAAATAATAATTATCCCGAGAAGGCCTTGAGAGAGGTGCACAGGTCATCTGGGTGAAGCTCTGTAAATTCTCGGCAGTTGGAACCGGTGGTGTGATGTGAGACCTAAGCATGCAGTGCTGCTCTGGTTCTGTGGTTCTGAGAGTCCCCCCAGAACACCCACCCAGTGGTGCTCAGGGGCTGTGAGGACTGCACCAATGGTGCTCAAAGGACCACGCAGTGCTGGAGACCAGACAGGGCCCATTTCTGTACTATCCTAACCCATGGCGCTACATCTGGTCTCCTAAGCACTGCCTGAGCAGGCCCTGAGCACCACCAGATGTGCCCCACCCCCCAAACTAAAAACAAAATAAACACTCAGACACTCGCCTTCATTTATTTGGCCAGTCAGACTCAGCAGCATGTCCAGAGAATATCATTTTCAAGACTCCAAAGGACAGAGGTTGCAGTAGGTCACACCAGCCAGATCCATGCCCCTCCCTTCTCCCCTTCACATCAGTGGAACCCCAACTTCTCCAATTCCTCAGGCTGGATTAGAGACATTCGCTTGTCTCTTCCACCCATAGGAATAAAACCAACTTGTATGAGATACCATGACTGCTTTTTGTGGGCAAGACCCACAAAAAGGTTGCTTTCTTTCTTGTGCAAGATGCTCAGCAGTGCTCCCTCTTGGGATGCTTGCTCCTCAAACCCTGGCCTCGAGCTCCCAGTCTCTGTGTCTCTGCTTCATCCTTTGTCCTTGTCAACACTTCACTCTGACATTCAAATGCAAGAGGTGCCCATTCATCCCTCCCTGGAATGCCCTCGGCACTTGTTTTCTGTTCTCATCAGTCTTGTTTCCAACATGCCAACTTCTTAGCCAGGCAAAGTTCTTGGTATGTCTCCCTCCACAGCATTTGTGGAGTTCACACCTGTGTCAGGCCCACCTCAATCTCACAAGCTCCTCCCTGGAGACTCCTCCAGAAAGAAAATGAGCATGTGTGTTGGCGTCTCCACCCCACAATGCCAAGACCAAGAACATGCCTTGTTCTTGCAACTCAGCCCACTTGCTGTCTGGGATCACAGAGAGGTTACACGCTAAGCTTTAAATGGCAACATCCAGTAGAAACGCATGTTGGAACTTTGTCTAATGATCAATGATGGTGATCAAAGAAGGGTGAGGAGAACAGGTGGAAGAGAGAAACACAGTTCATCCCATGTCAGGTTCAGCCATTGTGTGTGGAGATCCGGCCCCTCCATCACAGGAAAGCCTTAATTCAGAGTTTTCTTGGGAGGTTTATTTATTTAAACCTTATTTATCAAGGAGTTGCCAAAGAGAGCTGGGCGAAAGTTCTTCCTGGCTCTTATGCACAGAATTACAATGGAATTCCAACAGAGTGACACATGGCACCCCCCTTACCCGGCCCACAGGAACTTGGAGGTCACTGTGATAATGAATGGCAACAGAATGAATAGCAGTCCAGCCTCCTCAGGAGCCTTCCTGTGTCACAGCTGGGCAGAACAGTGCCCTGGTTCATGGCTGAAAATACGTCCCAGACATGGCTACCACAGCTGTGCTGGCCACTGCCTCCCCCTCCCCACGCCCCCCCCACAAAGCTCTGTGGTACTGGGGGCCTGTTTAAATCACGATGTCCTCTCCACTCTGAAGACACATTGCCTTGACTATTGTTAAGTGCACAACGGCGACATTTGTCTATTAAGGACAATCAAGCACAGAGACGGTTGTACCAAGCCAAGAGCCAGTCTTCTTCCTGGGTCCAGCCCCCCATTTCCACATCCTCTTTCCCTTATGCTGCCAGATCCCTCTCTCCATTTTATTTTTGCTTTTTGGGGTCACATCTGGCGATGCTCAGGGGTTACTCCTGGCTCTGTACTCAGGAATTACTCCTATCAGTGCCCGGGGACCATATGAAATGCCAGGGATTGAAGCCAGTTCACCCATATGCAAGGCTAAAACCCTACCTGCTATACTATCGCTCCAGCCCCGCTCTCAATAGTTTTATTGCCTTCTTCCCCTGGCCCTATCCACTACAGGACCCACATGATCTTCCTCACCTCCAAACAGTGCCACTGTCCTTCCCAAATATACAGGCATGCTCAATGCACACATTGTATCTTGCAAGCACATGGAACTCCCATCTACTGAAATTCCAATTCACTGATTCCAGATCCACCTGTTCTTCCCAGTCTCAGAGAGGCTCTCTCTTTCTCTCTCTCTCTCTCTCTCTCTCTCTCTCTCTCTCTCTCTCTCTCTCTCTCTCTCTCTCTCTCTCTCTCCCCTCTCTCTCCTTTTCTGTGCCTTTTCTGAACTGATCAGACCTCTCTTCATGTATGCTGCCTCACCCCTCACCAGCAGCAATATTACCAAATTCTAACAGTCTTGGGAATGGTTCTTCTCCCTCACTGCAAAGAGGAGCCCTGGAGCGAAATGCTGGGTGAGTGCTGACTTGAGGAGGGTACAGGTGTGAAAGTCTGAGCTCCATGCTTTACTAGTGACCTGTGTAATCCCACACCATGACTCGCTCCCCCAGTCTGTGAAATGGGGATGCTAGTGGTGCCAACTGCAAATGCTTATTGGAATCACACAAGCTTTGATTCAGTCCTTCGAGAATAAGATGTATCCTGAAAATAAGATGTATCGAGGGTTCAGGCCATGGTCTGATGGCCCATGTCATGTCTGCATCACTGCTGGGGTTGTGTATCTAGCTCTTAGATCTGGTGGGTGCCTAGAACTCTATGACTACGCATTGGGATGAGTGAATATGGGATTCTAATACTTGCTCCTCTTCAAGTCACCATTTTTTCACTACCACTGAAGCATTTGTTAAGAAATTAAGAGGGAAAATTTGGGAATTTTTCATAAGCTTCTGTGTACCCTAGAGGAATAAAGCTGTTCGGCATCATTAGAGGTAAATCCAAATCAAACTGCTGTCACTTTTTTTTTCTTTTAAGACATGGATAGTGTGGTGGGACCAGAGAGATAGCACAACAGGTAGGACATTTGCCTTGTATGCAGCGGACCCAAGTTCAATCCCCGCCATCCCATATAGTCCCCTGAGCATCAGCAGAAATGATTCCTGGGTGCAGAGCAAGGAGTGGATGAGTCCTGAGTGCAGAGTCAGGAGTAAGCCCTGAGCATTGTTGGGTGTGGCCTCCAAACAAACAAAAAATCATAAGGGGGGGGAGAGGGGAGAGGAATAGCTAAACTCACCCAAGATCCTTGAAGATAGTTCTTAAATTATTTTTTAAAGTTTGAAAGAAACATACTTTCTAGGGGCTGTAGCGATAGCACAGCGGGTAGGGTGTTTGCCTTGCATGCGACCGACCTGGGTTCGATTCCCAGCATATGGTCCCCTGAGCACCGCCAGGAGTAATTCCTGAGAGCCAGGAGTAACCCCTGTGCATTGCCGGGTGTAACCCAAAAAGCAAAAAATAAAAAAATAAAAGAAACATACTTTCTATACCAGTAATAAATGGACACTGAGAGTTTCATGTGATAAATAACTAAGAAAGGAGGTGAGTATCTATAAAAAAGCCCCATGTTCATGATTTATGGTCCTTGGTTAACAGATAGTTAATTGTTCTTAATGGTCCTGAGCAGCATGTATTGATTTTCTTGCTTCTTGATGAACTTCCACTTGGTTTTCAGCACAAATCTGAGTGCCTTCTTCATGCACAAAATTTGTAAACGAATTCTAGCATTCTTAGAGAATTCCATGCATTTCAGTTTTGAAGTTTCATTATATTTCATGACTCATAAAGAAAAGTCACAGTCAATCTTTAGGAAGAAAAACTTGCCTGATGGTTCTAGATTTAAAGCATTGGGGTGCAAGGGAGGGGAGGAAGAAGTGACAATTCAATAGGACAAAAGTCAAAGAACTCAGACCCTATATATCAGAGACTACCTGGAATTTCTAATGGTACTGGGGGACTCCATTGTCATATACAGTGATGCTCATGCTCGGTTGAGGGTTGGGGCAGGGGGGTTGCGTGGTGCCAGAAATCAAGACCAGATCAGGGACCTGCTAGGCATGTGCCCCAACTGCTATACTATCTCCTGGCCTCTTGCTTCTCCTTTTTAGTTCTGATCCATCATCTACTTTTTTTTTAATCAAGAGTTTATTAGCTCAGTCAGGATATTTCCTGAGACAGGAAGGGAGCACTCAATCATATAAGTTACTTGAACAGTGTTATAAGTTGGGACATCTGGTCAGCCAGTTGATTTGGTGGCTCCGAGTCCTACAGCCCTCCCTCCCTCCCTGTGGATGGCAGACATACTTGAAAAAGCACAAGGCAAACACACAACTCACTTTTTAATTCTTTCTCCTACAGAAGCCACTTCCTCCAGGATGTTCTGAACGGTCGAGATGATATCCTGCACCATATAGATTCTCTCAATTAGCCCCTTCTTTTCAGATTCCTAAGGAAGGAAGGCAAGATTTAAAAGTTAATGCTGTTAACTTCGTTTGGCTGCCCCACTCTGGAATTTGAAGCAAATAATGTCTGTCTTCTTTTCTGTATGTACAATCATATACGATAGAATTCTTGATCCACAAAACATCAAGTCTAACTCTGCTCATAGAGACCTGGAAAACGAAGGTAGCTGATGACAAAAGATGACAGTGAAAATTTTTTTTCCTGCTGCTGCAACAGAAGATTGTTATGGAACTAGACTCAAACTTACTTACAAGTGTTTGGTTAATAATTAATTTCACACCATTCGAAGCCTGAGTAAGAATTAAGAATTCTTATTTAATTCCAAAAAATTATGAAAATGATTCAAGTATTGGGGTGGAGAGGATTCCAGAAAGTGAAGATATTGTGACACTCTTTCCAATACTTTCATATTCACGTGCACTCTAATATCACTGGGACTGAGTTCGTTTCCTCACAGTTCTTGCCTAGGCAGGTGATTGTTGTCACTGGCCCTAAGATCTAAGGAGCCAATACTACAAATAACCGTCACCAAAAAAAAAAAAAAGAAGAAACCACCCTCCATTTCTCCATTTTCAATCTCAAATCTTACTCGGCTCCTGGGGCATGTACAAGGAGAGAATGAGAAACTATCTTCCCCAGGAGGCTGCTGGTACAAGGAGCAAGAAGGCAGAAATGGCACCAACTTCCTTTCCCAACCATCTGCCCTTGTTCATGAAGTGACTGTACTGGAAGTGGCCAAAGAGAAGGCAAAGTATCACTACTCCCCCTATTTAAGGGTGTTGACACGGGTTGAATAACTTCCCACCATCTGGACTGTACTTTACTCAACCTTTTCGAAGTACAGATGGACAAGTCAATTTACCCTTGCAACAGTAAACTTCAACTCTCCCATTCTACCCAATTTAAAATTTCATATTTCTCTTCCTCCTATAACTGGGTCTCTCTCTTATCTCTCTCTGTCTCTCTCTCTGTATCTCTCCAATTCTATCTGCTGCCAGAAAGACCTTAATCCACTCTCAGCAATCCACCATCTATTCATGGGCACAATGGTGAACCCCACCCTCCCCCACAACCCGCACGCTCTCCTCTCCCCTCCCCTGCCCCATCTCAGCCACATAAGTATTCATATTTATAAAGCAGGATTTGAAAGCACCAGGGAATTTGACCCAAAGGGCAAAAGTGGCTTCCTCTGATCAGCAGCAGAGAGTTTAGGTCAAAACAATTTCTCTGGAGAATGACTCAAATTTCCATGTGGCTCAGTTTTGTAAAACTGCCCTTTTTCAGTTGACTGATTTCCCACCCACCCCCACATCCCTCCATGAAATACCCAAAGACTGAGTCCTGGTTGTAAAGCAAGCATGTAAGCATCCCCACTAATAAACAAGTCTTACAAAATCTTTTTACTATTTTAGCAAATTTGAGGTTTGAATTTTTTAAAAATCCAAGATTTTTCTGAAGAGACCTAACCTATGTAGGGACTCCAATACAGGATTCAGATCTACATACTACATACTCTTATGAGTGAAAGTCATCAGAATTATAAAAATTTAAAATATTTGTCAACTGATAACTTAGTTCAAGTTGGAGCTACACAATTTTGTTTTTCAAATTTTCATAAATAAGCTATTTCAAAAATTAAAAAATACCTAGTGGACACTGGAACAAAAAATACCTGTTTATATTATTATAACACTGTAGCACTGTCCTCCCGTTGTTCACTGATTTGCTCAAGCAGGCAGTTTTTATTATTATAATATTTAAAAATTATTCAAGGGGCCAGAGAGATAGAACAACAGGTAAGGTGTTTGCCTTACACACAGTCAACCCAGGTTTGATCCCCAACACCAGACAGGTCCTCCAAAAACTACCAGGAGTGATTCTTGAGCACAGAGTTAAAAGCAAACCCTGAACACAGCCAGGTGTATACAAACCTAACTACATTTTTATAAAAATTATGCTAATGGAGAGTTAAAAATCTCTCAAAGAAAAATTATTATTTCTTCTTTTAAACATATCATTACATTTCTTTGTTCCATTTCTTTATAAGCATTACTTTTCCAAAGCTGGAAGGTTTAGTGTCATCTTTCCATGTATACTCTATAAAGTTACTTTAAACTTTCTCACAGTTACCTTCTAAGGTCAATAAGTGGGTACATTTAATTGTCTCTATAGTCAACATAACTCCAGTTTTGAAAAATTCTCTTTAGGCTCTGAGATGCCTTGAAAACTCAGGGGGAAAAAAACTGTACTGTTTGGGGAATACTCTCAATTCTGTTTTTCAAATATTGAAATCTGTACATATTTCAGCCTACGTATTTTCAAAGGCACTCTATTTTTGTACTCATTCACAGGAACCTTTTCCTGTCAAACTATTTTTTCAAGACAAAGCTTCAAAGAAGCTGTCACTTTGAATCTTCTGAATGTTTAACAAAATTTCTGCAAAAAAATAAATAAATGGCTTCTTCATTTTTTTCATTCCTATCAGGGGGGAGTGTGTGGTGTGTGTGTATCCTATTAAAAAATAAACCTTTCCTACCAACTGCAATTGTTTGAAGTGTAACATCATAATTTAAATGCTGATTTGTGCACTGAATTTGCATGAATATTTACTGGTGCTGAATACCCCATTCTTTTGTAGAGAATATCCCCAGCTCTTGTAGAGAAAAAAAGAATCCTTTTTTTGGCCTGCTCTTTTAAATTCAATAAAAATGTCCAAAGATGAAGATATTCATCACCTAAGCCATCTAAGTTTTTGAGGAGAATTTTCCAATTGATGATTGTCCAAAGGGCAACAACAACCAAAAATATCTGAAAATCACTCTCCTGTTTTTTTTTTTTTTAACAAGCGTACAAGAGCTTGGAGAAATGTCCCAGTTCTCCTCTTAAGAGATATCCAAAGTTCCAGGTATTCCTAAAATCAGATGGATTGATCAGACCTAGGAGAAAGAAGAAATACAAGAAATACACAAGCAAGCTGAGTGTATTTTTATTTCTGTCTTTTTAATTTTTTTGTTTTTGATTTTGAGCCACATTCAGCAGTGCTCAGGGGTTACTTCTGGCTCTAAGCTCAGGAATTACTCCCGGCAATGCTCAGGGGCCCACATGGGAGGCCAGCGATTGAACCTGGGTCAACCACATACAAAGCAAGCACCCTCCCCACTGTACCATCTCTCTGGTATCTGAGTGTATTTTTTAATATGTGGCATATTTCTTTTCTCACTGAACAAGTGGCAAACAACCAAAATATTCAGAAAGGCTTTGTTCAATATATGACACCAAGGTGTGCAGTATTAAGGTCAACCAGAGCCTTGTAGGCCAGGCCTTTGGGGAACTCATAACCTCAAGGAATGCCAGTCACCCTGATTTACGGATATCTACAGAAATAACTTTTTTTTTAATCAAAGTAACCTGTTTTTCAGTCAAGGCAACAGGTAGAGATGAGAATTTTGTTCTATAAGGAAGATGAGGAAGTTGCCCTCTCTGTGACATGCAAGATCCCTCTTTTAACATCCAAAATACCAAAAGCAACCGGTGTTGGCGCAGATGTGGTGAGAAAGGGACTCTCCTTCACTGCTGGTGGGAATGCCGACTGGTTCAGCCCTTTTGGAAAACAGTATGAATGATTCTCAAAAAAATCAAAAATTGAGCTCCCATTTGACCCAGCAATACCACTTCTGGGAATATATCCCAGAGAGGCAAAAAAGTATAGTCAAAGTGACATCTGCACTTGTTTGTTCATTGCAGCACTGTTTACAATAGCTAGAATCTGGAAAAAACCTGAGTGCCCGAGAACAGATGACTGGTTAAAGAAACTTTGGTACATCTACACAATGGAGTACTATGCAGCTGTTAGAAAAGATGAAGTCATGAAATTTATATACAAGTGGTACTACATGGAAAGCATCATGTTAAGATAAATGAGTCAGAAAAAGAAGGAGAGACATAGAAAGATTGCATTCATCTGAGTAACATAAAGTAAAAAAATAGGAGACTAACACCCAAGAATAGCTGAGATAAGTACCAGGAGGATTGATTACTCCATGGCTTTGAGGTCAGCCGCACATGCTAGGGGAAAAGGCAGCTCAGACAGAGAAGGGAGCACCAAATAAAGGGTGTTGGGAGGTTCCTCCTAGGATAGGAGATGCATGAGAGTAGACTATAGACCAAACATGATTGGCACTCAATGTCTCTTGCAAACCACAGCACACAAAAGGAGAGAGATAACAAAAGGGAATGTCCTGCACAGAGGTAGGGTGGACTGGGGGGATGGGGGGTGGGAGGGATACTGGGATCAGTGGTGGTGGAAAATGGGTACTGGTGGGGGGATGGGTATTCAATCATTGTATAACTGAAACCCAAGCACAAAAATTTGTAAGTCTACAACTGTACCTCATGGTGTTTCACTAATAAAAAGTTTTTTAAAAAATCCCTCTTTTAACATGGATATCTCAGGATCACACATCAGTCCTTAAGCATCCTATGGATGGAAAGCTCTGGGTTGTCCTGTTGACTTTAGCATCCAGTCATTTAAATTTTTCATAAGCAGGTAACTAAATGTGAACTTTCCCCCTACAACTTGGTATCACTTTTGTTTGCTCTATCCATCTGAGAAGAACTGGGAGTAAGAGGGTGGGAGTATATGAGGATTTATGTCCTGTGCCCAGACACTACCCAACTCCTCTCTAAAATACTTTTAGGGAACAGCCAAAGAGACAATGATGAATATAAGGCACTTGCCTTGCATTGTGCCTCACCCCAGATCCATTGCCACTGCTCCATATAGTCTCCTAGACACCACCAGGCATCACTCTTGAACAAAGAGCCAAGAAAAGCCCCTACTATAGCAGGGTGTGACCCCAAAAATCAAAAACATAATATTCTTCAATGGAGTGAACATAGCTTTTCATTCGGTGGGGAAGAGGATTAGCCCTTGTCTGGATTCAAACACCAATAACCCAGGCAGGCACTGTGGCCTATCTGTGT